TTTAATTGGAAAAAACTCCTGTACCCTCGCGAGGGCGGAAAAAGGAGGTGTGACAGCTCTGGCTCTCGAACAGCTGCAACATATGATGTATGTCCAGCAGCTCCCCCTGAATTTGGATGCCCCTTATAGTTGCCTTTTTCTACAGATCTCCTCGTGTTCCAATTGGGAGGGTAACTGACAATCTCAAAGCACTGGCTCTTCTCATGGCCAACCTTCTGGCAATGAGTGCATCTCTTTCATTGCTCCCTTTCCAGATTGCATAATCACATTCCTAGTAATATGGAAGGCTGAACCTTCTTGTTTTGCTTCTTTTTGCACCCAATATTTCGTTGTCCTTCCTCCCTGACCACCATAGCATATGCTTTTTTAGATTTACTATAGGTTCAACATTCAATATCTGATATTTCACGCCATCATAGAGTCTTGAATCAAGACCCATAAGGAATTGATAAACCATCTCTTCCTTTTGCCTCCATTGATGCTCTTGTCTGGCCACATAATTACATTCTGGTAAAGAGTCAAGATCATTCAATTCATCCCACAACGCCTTTAATTTTGTGTAGTATGTCAACACAGTTTGCCCATCTTGGACAAGAAGACTGATGCCCCTTCTAATCTGGTAAATCCTTGGAGCCTTGCCTTGAGCAAAACGCTCCTCCAAATTTATCCAAACTTTCCTTGCAGTCTCGGCGTAGGCTATGATGCTATGCAAAGTTTTGTCAAGAGAATTGAATATCCATGATATAATCATGGAATTACATGTTTCCCACAAGTTTGCTTCCAATTTTTCATCGCTAGGCCTTTTATTACGCCATTCAAGAAATCGAACTTGTTCTTGGATCTCAGAGCATTCTTCATGGCTCTGGACTACGTCACATAGTTTGTCCCATCAAGCATACATGAAGTGAGCAGCATCCCGGGGTTGTCCTAGGCATGAAGATGGAATGAAGAACTTGTTGGGAATAAACTCCTAGAGAAATAATATTCATGGTAATAAAAGCGAAATAATAATGTAGTACCGAGATATGGTAATCAACAAGAATAAGAACAACAAAAAGACAGATTTTAACGTGAAAAATCCTTATGAATAAGGAAAAAAATCATGTGCTCGAGAGGAGCAAAGTATCCACTATAATGAGGGATTTTATACTTCATAGTCCCGAGTAAATACTCCAGGACCCACTATACACTTAAAAGAAATAACTCTCTTTTGAGATTCCCACATCACTACAATATTGCTCACACTCTCTATTTTTCTACACAGTCCATTTTTCTATTTTTGAAATATTTGAAGCTTTGTTGCTTCTTTGTGTCTAAAGAATGAAGCCGATACATCTATTTATAGGAAGAGTGGCCTCACTTTCAACCAATTAGAATCTTGCCTCTTGCAACTTTCCAATTTGATTATGTCAAATTGACACCAAAACCAAGCTTGGTAAAAAACGTGTTTTGGTGATCTGACAGCCCACCAATTTTGGAATCTTGCAAATTTATCTTCCTGTTTTTCTTCTTCTTCATTATAGGGATGGACCCACAATCTCCCCCTTCAGACCCATTCACCTGAAGGAGGTAACACCAGACTTCTAGCTTGAGTGCATTCCGACAAGTTCTTTGCACAATTCGAACTTGTCTCTTGGTACCACCTTGGTCAGCATATCTGTGGGATTCTCACTTGTAGAAATCTTCAAGACTTTTAGAGATTCATTCTCTACCATTTCTCGAATCCAGTGATATCTTATATATATTGATGTGTTTGGTCCTTGCATGATACATGGAGTTCTTGCTAAGGTCTATTTCACTTTGACTGTCACAATAGATGACATACTCCTTCTGATGCAATCCAAGCTCTTGAAAGAACCTTTTTAACTATATCATCTCCTTGCCAGCTTCAGTAGCGGCAATATACTCTGCTTCAGTTGTAGAGAGTGCGACACACTTCTGCAACCTCGACTGCCACAATATAGCCCCCTGAAAATGTAAATAAATATCCAGTAGTGAATTTTTTGTTTTCAACGCCACCTGCTATATCAACATCTGTATAGCCCTTCAAGATTGGATCATATCTTCCAAAGCTCAAACAATCTCTCGTGGTACCTCTCAAGTACCTGAGTATCCATTTGACTGCTTCCTAGTATTCTTTTCCAGATTTTCAAGAAACCTTCTGACAACACCAACTGCATGAGCAATATCAGGTCTAGTGCATACCATTGAATATATCAAACTTCCAACAGAAGAGGAATAAGGAATTTTTGTCATGCTCTCCTTTTCCTCCATTGTTGCAGGACACATCTTTTTGCTTAACTTCAGATGACTAGAAAGAGATGTGCTGATTGGCTTAGCATTCTTCATGTTGAAGCATTCCAGTACACGTTCAATGTACTTCTCCTGAGATAGCCATAACTTTCTGCTTGTTCGCTTTCGAACTATCTTCATACCCAGAATTTGTTGTGTTGGGCCCAAGTATTTCATATTAAATGACTTGGACAAATATCCCTTCAACTTTGCGATCAACTCCTTATCTTTTTCTACAATTAACATATCATCCACATACAACAACAAAATAATAAAATTATTGTCAGAAAATCTTTTGAAGTATACACATGAATCAGAATAGGTATTTATGTATGTTTGACTTTTCATGAATGAGTCAAACTTCATGTACCACTGCCTTAGTGTCTGCTTCAGCCCATTAAGACTCTTATTCAATTTGCACACCATGTGTTTCTTTCCAGGTACTTCAAATCTTTCTGGCTACTCCATATAAATCTCCTCTTTCAAATCTCCATGAAGAAATGCAGTTTTCACATCCAACTGCTCCACTTCTAGGCTAGTTTCTAAGCTCAAAATTATTCGAATAGAAGTCATTTTGACAACATATGAGAAAATTTCGTCAAAATCAATATCTTTCTTCTGTTCGAAGCCTTTGACCACCAATTTAGCTTTGTATTTGACTAGCTTGCCATTTCCGTCTTTCCTAAGTTTAAAGACCCACTTACATTTGAGTGGTCTTGTACACCTTGGAAGTTTAACCAGCTTGTATGTGCCATTTTTCTGCAGAGATTCCATCTCCTATTGTATGGCTTTCATCCACTGGTTCTTTTCTGGATAAGACAACACCTCCTTAAGACTTTCTGGATCCCCCTCATCACTGATGAGGACATACTATGTCGAAGGGTACCTTCATGACTCTACCCTTGGCCTTTCTGATCTCCTTAGAGGTTGAGGTTGTTCTTCTCCCTGAGTGAGTGATCCACTTGCTTGACATTATCATCAAGTTTCTCTTCCTGCTCAATAACCTTACCAGGTTGCTCTCCCTACTCGGCAACCTCGTCGGTCATACTTTCTGCACTTGTGGGATAGTTAGAAAAGGAAGGAATGGTAACAAGGTTAGTGTTTATACCATTCTTTGTCTTCTCTGAATGGTCATCTACAGTTTCAACTTCACTTTCTCGGAAGACTATGTCTTTGCTTCTAATGACCTTCTTCTTTACAGGATCTCACAATCTGTATCCGAACTCTTTATCTCCATATCCGATGAATATGCAGGAATAAATTTATTATCCAGCTTTGTTCCCTGCTCCTTTGGTATATGTGCAAAAGCTCTGCAACCGAACACCTTCAGATGCGAGTAGGACACCTCTTTGTTAGTCCAAACTTTCTCTGGGATGTCAAACTCCAATGGAACTAATGGACTCATATTGATAAGGTAAAAGGATATTTGAACTGCTTCACCCAGAATGACTTAAGCAGTTTAGCCATTCTGAGCATGCTTCTCACCTTCTCTACAATGGTGTGGTTTATCTTCTCGGTTATGCTATTGTGTTGTAGGGTTCCAGAAACTATCTTTTCATGTCTAATCCCATGACTTGAATAATACTCTTCAAATTCCTTGAAGTGTACTCACCTCCATTATCACTTCAGAGACGTTTTAGCTTTCGACTTGTCTTCCTTTCCACCAGAGCATTAAACTTCTAGAAAACTTGAAATACCTGAACATTGATTTTTAAGATATAAACCCATAATTTACGTGAAGTATCATCAATAAAAGTAATGAAATATTTGTTACCACCCATCGATTCAATTTCCATTTAACCACAAATATCAGAATATACTAAATCAAGCATATTTAATTTTCTTTCGAATGATGTCTGAAATGAGACTCTATGCTGCTTACCAAATAAACAATAGTCACATGGTTTTATTGGTGTACCTTTGGCAAAAGAGATGAGTGATTTTCTGGAAAGAATATGCAATCCCTTCTTGCTCATTTGATCCATTCTTTTGTGCCACAAATCTGTAGAAATCTCATCTTGTGTCGCGTACAATTCACCTTGGCATATTTTTACATTTGTCTTGTACAACGTACGACGAGCAACTCCCTTTGCAATCACCAATGATCCCTTGGTGAGTCTCCACTTTTAATTTACAAAATAGTTCTTGTATCCATCTCGGTCTAAGTGATTCCCGAGTTCAAGTTCATCTGCAAATCAGGAACATGCCACACGTTCTTTAGAACAAATGTACATTCGACATTTGTCTTGATACAAATGTCACCGATCCTTGCAATCTTTGAGTAACTCGTGTTACCCATTCTCACAGATCCAAAATCACCTGTTACATTTCTGCAAAACATTTCTCTAACCGATGTGGCATCGTGAGATGCCGCTATATCAACCACTCATTCTGACTCTGGACCTGACAAGTGCATGCATTTCCCTTCCCTATTTATAAAGAGGACAACATTATTATTGTTTTGTACTATGGCGGTTGTGTTGTTGTCATTCTTCTGGCCACCGCTTTCACCTTTTCCCTTCCTTGGACAATCTCTTTTGAAGTGACCTGGTTGATCACAATTGTAGCAATTTCTAGCTCTTGATTTGGATCGGTTCTTAGACTTTTCACGAACTCCGGATCTACCATAGTTGCTCGAACTCCTTTGATAACTCCTTCCACTACCTTCTGTGATGAGAGTCTGTCCTTGATTTTCAGGCTTCTTTCTCATCTTCTCATTGAGTGGAAGAGCCGATGTGACATCTTTCAACTCAATGGTAGTCTTACCGTGCATGATGGTTTTTACCAAATTATCATACGAAGATGGCAATGAGTTCAAAAGCAAGATGACTTTATCTTCTTCCTCGATTTTTACTTCGAGGTTGGCGAGCTGTGTGATTAGTCCATTAGACACATTTAAATATGACAAAAAATTCGTACCTTCACCCATGTCTAGAGCGTATAACTGCTTCTTCAGGTACAATTATTGGTCAGCGTTTTGGACATGTATATGATTTCTAACCTTGTCTAAATGCCACATGCGGTGCCTTCATCAATGATATTATTTACCACATCATTTGATAAGTGCAACCTGATTGCACTAGCAACCCTTTCATCTAAGTCAGCCCAGTCCTCATCTTTCATGGTATCAGGCTTTTTGGCATCAACATCTAGTACCTAGTGTAATCCTTGCTGGATGAGCAGATCCCTCATTCTTCTTTGCCATGTTGAAAAATCACTATCTCCGTTGAATTTTGCTACCTCGTACTTTACTCCAGACATTTCTTTTTCACTGAGTATAGTACCACTGACACTGAATAGTACTTCTGTGAACAAGCAGAACATGTGCTCTGATACCAGTTGTTAGGAATAAACTCCTATAGAAATAATATTCACTGTAATAAAAGCGAAATAATAACGTAGTATCGAGATATGGTAATAAACAAGAATAAAAAAAAACAAGAACATAAAGATTTTAACGTGGAAAACCCTTCTGAATAAGGAAAAATCACGTGCCTGAGAGAAGCAAAGTAATCCACTATAATGAGGAATTTTATACTCCGTAGTCTCGAGTAAATACTCAGGAACCACTATACACTCAAAAGAAAAAACTCTCTTTTGTGATTTCCACCTCACTACAGTATCACTCACACTCTATATTTTTCAACACAGACTATTTTTCTACCTATGAAATATTTGAAGTTTTGTTGCTTTCGTGTATCTAAAGAATGAAGCCGTTACATCTATTTATAGGAAGAGTGGCCTTACTTTCAACCAATCAGAAGCTTGCCTCGTTGCAACTTACCAATTTGATTCTGTCAAATTGACACCAAAACTAAGTTTGGTCAAAAATATGTTTTGGTGATTTGACAGCCCACCACCAATTTTGGCATCTTGCAAATTTTTCTTCTTATTTTTTCTCTCTCTTCTTCATTATGGGGATGGACCCCACAGAATTGTAGTTCACCAATTTGACGTCTTGCGCCTTTGAGCCCATTGCTTATTTTAATTTATTTTTTCTGTCGGATTGTTCGCCGAGTTGGCTCTGATACCATGTGAAAATCAATAATAGAGTTTATGAGAAGAAGCTACTTGCTTAACTGATTTTATTAATAAACAAGACTGTATATATACAATGCTGCGGAGGCTTATCAAATGTGATCTAATAGACTATGTAATAAAGAAGAGAGTCTTATACAAACTATACAATGGAAGGAGTCTTATTCTAAGTCTTTCAATAATGACAGTTAGGAAATAACAGCACGAGCAAATTTCCAACGTGACACCTCTAAGTTCTTTAAGAAACAAGCTTGAATTTTGAACTTACGAGTAATGTCAATATTAATCCAATTTTCACCTCCTAAAAGATTATTGCCAATAATATTTACGTGGTCCTACTACATGAATTACTTGCTTCAGCTGCATCATCTAGTAAAACGTGACAAAATTAGGTAATCAATCATATTTCTCTGAGTAACCATTTCAAAATCTAAACTACTCTTCAAGGAGTTGGTGGTTCCATCGGAACCCGAAGAAACAGAGTATTTATTTTAGACGCATAAAGGATATTAATGATGAATTTTCACGAGGCTTGTATCACTTGTATTTAGACATGCAACAAATACAACCTCAAATATATTCGTTCGCACAACAAATACAGCCAAAGCGAAATACAGAAAAATAAAATGCTCTCATTGGCAGTAAAACTCAAGGCTTCCACTTACTAAGCAGGTGGTTGAACCAATTGAGCTACAAGAGCTTGTTGCCCTCTTGTTTCTGTTCAAAACAATTGATTTCTTGTTTCAGTACTTTCAGGTGGATTTGTTATAAAATTCAAATATAGCTATAAATGATAATTTTCTGAAACTATAGCTACGAATGATAAATACGGTGTATATATTTTTCAGGTGAAACAAATGTTTATTGTGTGGCATAATTTTTCCTAAACTTATTAATTAGACAAAAGACACTGGGCTTAAGGAGCAGGCCCAAGATGCTTTGTATTTGCCAATTACTCCACCATATTACATACTACAAACTTGTGAAAAGCATTGTCTTGTGGGAAATTGCAGATTGTGTGTTATAGCTGGAAATATTTCTCCAGTAGATGTCATTACCCATGTTCCAATCTTATGTGAGGAATCTGATATACCATACATCTATGCTCCCTCAAAAGAAGTAAGCCAGTTACTTTTGCATTAAACCCCATTACCTTGAGTATTATATTAGTAGTATTTAGTGGTACTATTGTCTAGTTCATTTTCTTAAAAATGGCAATATAATGCTAGTGTGTTTGAAGGTCATGATTGTAAAAGCATTGTGTTTTCAGGATCTTGCAAATGCTGGAGCAACAAAGAGGCCAACTTGCTGCGTTTTGGTATTGACAAAGCCTACTAAGGGGGAACTTAGCCAGGAAGATCAAGAGAAACTGAAAGAAGATTATGATCAAGTTGTATCAGAAATTTGTGAAACAACTTCATCGTTGTTTTGATTGACAGAATTATGTTGTTTTACTTTAATTGCACTGTACTTAGTTCTGCTAAATAGCAAGTAATTATCGATTATTAATCTCGAACTGCATACGCCGCCATTTCTTCTCTCCTTTCTAAATCTGATGCTGCAATTTATTTGCGCCTACCATCTGATCATCTATCTACATTCATGTCTGATCTGTGGCATGCTCATTAGAGATATCTGTTGCAGCTATCCGTTGCATTTTGAATAAAGTAGCCGAAAGCTGATGAGTACAAGGCATAAGGAATGAAAGATCATTCGGTATTGCCCCTGAATGAAGTTACAAATTGGCCTTGCATACACGTTGGAAAAGAAACGAAACCAGTATCGTACTAGTTTGCTCAAATATACAGTTTATTTTGGAGTACAAAGTTATTTTCATCTCCATTCTGCAGAACTGGAATTTTATATAAAATCATACCAATATTATTATTAGTAAGTGAGCTCAGCTTGACAACTAAATAGGAACTTCTAAGAAAATCAACAGGACTTCGTTTCACTTTTTTTTTCTTTTTCGAAAATTAACCTGACAGGATTTTCGAGAAAAAGTTTTTTTTTTTTAATTAACAAAATGAGGATTTCCTATCAAAAGGACCTAAAAACGATTTATTACTAGTATTTATTTAATTGATATCCTTTTTTCTTTAAATCTTGAAGTCAGTCTGTTGGATCAACATTTTTCTCCTTTAAGTGCAGATAACATAGCATGAGCTATCTCAGGTACAAGGACCAGATAGACATTTGGACAACATCCTAAACAAGGATTACAGCACCAATACCAGCCCTATTATATCTTTACAGTAATAATCCAAGAAGAAATACTTTCTCCATTTGCAAGAGACAATTTATTTCATCCTCTCATGTATTTGTGGTTCTTCAAAGATAACAAGGCTAAAAATATATACATTTATTTACGCTAAAATTCTCTCTTAATATATGTACATCTTCGAGTTCACTGTTTCAGTAGCATTAGCTGAATATGTTATTTTTGAGATGACAAGGTCCTGAACAACAAGATACCTACACCGCCAATAGCAAGAGTAAGAAGTAGAGGAACACCAATTGATTCAACAACTTCAGCCATTCCTTCCGTCCTATCCGTTCTTCCTTGGCGAGATCTTTCTCCATTGAGTTCACGGAGGATATTGCTCAGATTGTCTATCTGGTGCATGATCTGACGCTGTGATCTCCCAATGAGAAGTACCTGCTTGCAAGATGGTTTGCATCAGAAGCGTAATTGTCTAAACCGACCTACCTCCTCAGTACCAAATTGTCCATTTTCCTGATCTTCATGAGACAATTCCGTTGAACTTGGACTATGGTTCTTGTTAGAGAATCTTTTAGTACTTGGAAACATAAGTCATTAACTTTCAGTGCTATCTCTAGTAAGTATTATTTTCAAATGACGAATTATTCCACAATCGAGTTTACTCTAAAATTTGGTCAAATAGATCAAAAGGCAAGATTTGGACAACAATTGTCTTAGAAAGTATATCAAAGCACCCACAAGGCCACAATGCCTTCTTTTGTCTCTGCTTAGTGTCAAAGATGAGCAGAAGATAATCTTAAAATACCTCTTCCATAAGAGAAGATTCCCTTGCCAATTGGGAAGCAGATGATGAATGAGGTAAAAGAGAACCAGTCAATGAGCCATTTCCTAACCCAGCCACAAAAAGAGAAGTGGGTGCAGATCCATTGCAAGCCTCAGCGTGCACTGCCAAATTTTGTTGGCTGGCAGAAACTTTATTGACAGATATTTTTGAGTTTAGCTCTTCCATCCGAGATGTAAACTCATCCATTCGCTCACTCAGCGTGGAAATTTGTTCTGAAAGTTGAGAAACAACTCCCTGAAAAAAGCAATTCTTGAGTGATCGAGAGAGAACAGGAAAATGCAAGATTGAGTTATTACTAACTGTTCAGCATAAGTGGGAGGTACTGGTAGCAATTAACTACTCTTCTGGTGTATGAGAAACGATGAAATTAAGCAGGAAGATGGAAAAGGAAAAACAGCATATGCAATATACTACTTCCGGTGCACAGTCTCCAGCACCAAGTTCTCCATATAGGCGTCATGAACTCTTTATCTTTTTACAAAATGAATGGATCCTTGTATGACTAATAAAAAGATTTATAGGACTTGAATAAAAGTCTATTATGAAGATTAAAATAAACCAAATATGCTTTTTATAAATCTATATGAACAATTGTAAATCATAAAAATAGACCCTCTTGCTGTTCTACATGACTATAAAAGGGATCCATCAGTTTTTTGCAGGCGTTTCCAGCCACCTGTGCCCAGGGTTGCCAGGAGATCATTATTTGGCTTGCTTTTCTAAAGCTATAAAGTCAATTTTACTCTGGCGATTCTCAAAACCATAAAATCCAACCGTGTGCCTCTTTAACTCCTAATGGAGGACTCACTTCCTTCTCCTGATATGAAATCTTTCCGAAGGTTATGTTGGTTCGAGTTATGCCATAAGGAATATTTGAATTATAAGAAAAATTGACAGCCTATAACTTTGGTCAATGGTTGGGCTATGAGACATGGTGGTAGCCCCTAAGAGGAAAGAGTAGGAAAGGGTGAATATATTCTCGAGTGTCGATAACAACAATTAAGAATCAATCAATGGTGATATTCATTAACCTCAGAGGTATTTCATGGACAATGCCCTCAAAGATTACTGAAGTGCTCACTAGTTGGGATGAAGCTGGAACTGGAGCTGGAAGCAGAGATAGAGGATTGTCCCCTCATGTATATGGTGGACAATATGGAAGGAGAGAAACTCTAGATATTTTGAGGATAGTAGCAATTCAATACAGAAGATCAAAATGAATTGTGCCCTACTTTTTTATTTTTGGTGTAAGCAAAAGTGGCCAGAAGATACTGTATCGATCCTAGAAGTCCTAGAATACTGCTAGGATTGTAGCTCAGTAGTCTATCTTTTTGCACATTGTAAATATGGTTTCAGTACAACCTATGTACTGTTATATATCAATACACACAAATGTTACCTTCTCAAAAAAAATACCTAACCAAGTGCGTTGATTCACCACACAAAATTTCTACCTTAAAGTCAAATGGTGTACTTGGTAACCGTGATAGTGATATTTAGTTTCATTTTCCCGCAACAAGTCATTTTTCAGACCAATTACGATCATATGCAAGTTGTACTCCAGTGGTCACTGACATTTTGTCAGATGCCTGAAAATGACTGCAGAAGTTCTGTTAATAANAAAGGAAAATATATTCTAAAAGAAATTTCACAGAACACCAAGAGAAAAAAAACTGGAAATCAGTTCACACACCAAAAATGCCTTCAATCTGTAGCAAAAATAGTGGACATTAAATTCTCACAAAAACATGAACTTATTTCTCAGAAGAGTTACCTGGTTAGCCACTGGTGCTGGAGAATCTGGAATTCTTCCATCATATCTTCTACTATTAACCGCAAGTTTGGTCAACTTGGACAGGTGTTTTTCTCGTTGTATTGAGTATGTATGTGGGATACCACTGCCAATAGTTACAGGCGAACATATGAAGATTTTTTCAGTCCATGACTTTTGCAGAAATAAGTAGGTGGTGGTTGTTTCCAGACAGGGTAAAAACATCTAAATAATGGTGCAATAAGTATAGACTACTTTGAGTAGTAGTTAAGATAATAATTTAGCCTATGACCTACCGATTAAGAAATTTCGTTCTCCTATCTGCCGAGGCTCGGGATAAAGCTTCTCTAGGGCTTGAGACCAAATCATCGTCTATGCTCAGCTTTGTCTTCAGATCGTCTGGCAATGCCTGCACAGTTTGTGATACTCAGAACCAGGAACATTGGAAAAGTTTGTATTTAGTTAAAATTGCTCTTACCATAACATCGTTTAAAAGCTTCTCCAGCTGAATTTGTTCAATGTAAGTGCGAGGAATATATGAACCATCCAAACCCAGAGAGTCAGCAATAAATTTTACATGTAATCGATCTCTTCCTTGCACCTTCATAAGAAAAAAATGGAAATAATAATAGCAATTAACTTCACGCCAAATGACAGAACTGAGGAAGAGGAAACTCATTTCTAACAGACTTCACTATTTTCCTCAAGTCGTCAGCGATTAGGAAATTTAAAACTGAACTCACATATTCACCATAAAATTTTCTTCTTCATTGATATTTGTTAAATTTCTTTAACTGAAGTTTTAGGGAACTCCTCTTCCCCCTTTTCATCATTTTCAGCATGCTTCATGTCACGTTTATAATTTATTAAATAAAAAAAAAAATTAATGTAAACACTCAAATGATAGTGATGAATGATGATCAAGCAAGTATCCAAACTGGACAACTCTCCTAAATACTATTCTTACAATTGTCTCAACCCCAGAAATCAATGTTGCTTCCAGTAGATTAATAAAATGAAAGGTTAGTCAATTGTGCCATGCCAAGCCTCAAACCATTCAATTACTCATGGCTCAGCCGCATTCTAAGTCTATGCATTGGCTGGGTAAAGCCTTACAGAGATTCTCTAGGAGGTCAATGACACACATCTTTACCTGAATTCCAGATAAAATAAAATAAACCCAAATGCTCAAAACAGGAGACAGATAAAAAGACGAAAAAAAAAAGAATAAATAAATTCTACCTTGCAAATCATGATTCAAAACATTTAAAAGAAAAATCAAAATAAGATAAGGGTGACTTAGTAATTTGTGACTATCATACCTGAACATACTGACGATTAAGTTGCTCCAACCAATCTGTTTTCACACAAACCTTGTCATCAGAGAAGATGTGGCTGCTCCTTTTCAAAATGGTCGCAATTGAATATCCTAATGCCATCAAACCACCAAGAAGTCGTACACTGACCTCAAAGGTGATTCTTGGTGATATAATGAAAGGACTATCTGTCACCCATTCCTGAAAGAAGTACATGAAAATCCTCAGATGATACAAGATTACTATTTCTTGACATTCCGCACAATACCTTTAAGAATTCAATAGATACCTATAATGTACCCAAAATAGGAAACACAGAAATAAGTTCCAAAGTTGAAAGTTCTTGACTGCTCATTTATAGCAATCTAGCAAATAGAATAACAAGCTAAAGCGCAGCATTTGAGTTTTGGTCACAGGTGAACTTGGATTCTCCTTCGAAGTATCTTCCTTATAAGTGAGTCAGGTGTCATCCATATTAGAATGACAAATACGATCTGATTTATCTACTATTTTGGTACTACAACATCTTGTTTTCATCGCAAAAACAAGGTGCAAAAATGCTCTATCAGGGGAAGACAGATGCAAATAGAGCAAGATGGAGAGAGATTAGATTATGATAAGTCATATCAGCAAAATGTTAAAATGAAGTTAGTCACACAATAGACTGTATTCTATTTAGCGTCTACATATCTATGACAGAACAGTAGGATTCTACTTAAAAAGCCTTAATCTGTATTAGATTGATTGCTATATTTCTTCTGTCTGTATGATATGGGACAACTAAGGCCAGATTTCTCCAGCGAGCTCTATAACCATTAAAACCTAGAATTTAAAAGGTAGTTCATTCAGCATACACAGAATGACCGGCAGTACATGCTGACAGCATTCTTGCTACTTCACTAATGGAATATATGCAATCGCAATCAAATAGATCATATGAAGGATCCAAGTAGCTTAACCAATATCAAGCAAATTTACCATCTGAAAATGACAAGACAAAAAAGGTGACAAGTAGTCCAACAATTAATAAATGATATGCTCAGCATATAAACAAGGAATTTATCGGTCACACCTCAAACATAAGAGTGTACTTTCCATCCTTGTTCCTCATCCTAAGATATGATTGGCAAGCTTCAGGATCTTCACCAGGAGGTAGGAGATAAATATCATAAGTTTCCTCTGTAATTTCCTTGTGCTCATTTGGAAACACAGCCTTGATCTGGTCTACAGTCACAGTTTTTGTTGACTGTAATATATTTAAAATGCATCAGTCTCAAAAGTTGTGCTTGCAGTTCACAAGTAACCTTTTAGTCACAATTTAAATGGAACGTAAAGAGAAAGGTCAAAATGTTAGACCTTTAAAACATATGTTGGGTTCTGAAATCCAGCGAACGGGTTAAACTTGTTGATAATTTTGATATGAGCTGTCTGTAGATCAGGCTCAATAAAGGCTTTGTACATAGGATAGACCTGTTGGAAGAATGACATAAGGTTCATTGTACTTGGTTGCCAAGCTAAATGTATAAAGAAATTTGAAACAGATATGTCTTGCAATATATTATTATAATAACAGAAACGGAACCGTTTCCGAGATTTGTTGGATTATCTCTTCCGGCTCTTGTCCAGCACGTTGAATGTCCCTGAGAACCCGTTTCACTAAGTCAAAGTGCACTCCACCCGTGACAGACACACGGAGATCTAGTAATGGCCTCAACTTTTCACTCAAAGCATATATCCCTTCAATTATAACAATTCGAGAGCTTGGAGCTTCGAGTGTTCTGTCAAATCAAATGTCAGAAAAAGTAATGGGATCAGAAAGAAGTAGAAAACGTGTGTTTTACATTGCCAAGTAAGAAAATGAAACATTTTGTATGGAACTGGTTCTTGATTATAAATTTCAGATGTTCTTCCAGTAATGTCAGCTAGATAAAGCTCTTAATTGTATTTCGATAGGTCTCTCTGAATCTCTCCCCTCTTTACACCATTCTCTTCTTGTTTCCTCTTTTCTCTCTGAACATATACTATTAGCTCTTTATATTCCTCTTGTTGATCTTCTATTAGGATCTTTGTGTATACACAAACTCATTCGATAGTGCATATATCAGGTCATGAATGTAACTAAAAACCACGCGGGGTGCGGGGGGACTGGGATGGCTGATACACACACAAATCACAACTCCCTGTCTTCTTCACCAAGTAAATCCAAGAAATGATGAGCAGAATTTCGGTCAAAAAGTTAATGGATATTATGAAGGTCTAGATTAAGAATGATGTGCAATGTCATTCATGGGCTTCAATCAAATGTTACATACAAACAGTAGAAATAAAATAGACGTCTTAATGTCTTTCAAATATAAAAGTGGTTAATGAGCAGTACAAAATTTTTTTGGTAAACCCCACCGCAGAAACCTCCTTCCCCTGCACGACAAGTACTTTTCTTCAATCCCTCTCCTCTTTTTTTTGAATTGGTAACTATTGTATATATTATAAAAATCAGTACATGGGTTGCACTGAAAACCAAATTTACACAGAGAGAATTTGAAGATATTCTAATTTAAGACCTAGCAGGATCCTAGTATGTCTATGATTGTCAATGTATCTTCTGTGTACATCTGTTTGCACCAAAAACAAAATAGAAGAATACAATTGAGTTTGATCTTCTGCAGTGGATTGCTTCTGTCTTCAAAACATCTAGTGTTCCTTTCCCTCCAGACTGTCCACCAAATACATGCCGGAACAGTCCTCCATCTATCTCTGCTAGTTGCTTCAGCTCCAGCTTCTTCCCAGCTATAAATGACATCTTTAATCCTGTATGGCATTGACCATGAAATACCCCTAAGACTAATAAAGATTTTCCATAGTTGGTCTGTAATCTTGCAATGTAGAAACAAATGGTTGACAGTTTCTGCATTTTCCCCACACAGAAAACATCTTGAACACAGAGATATTCCCCTTTTTATGAGATTATCCTGGGTTAAAACCGCCTCCTTTGCTAGTAGCCAAGTGAAACAAGCTACCTTGTATGGAATCTTTGTTTTCCATATATGTTTTCAAGGCCATGTGTCTACCTATTGATTGTCATGATTCAAAATCTTATATGCATCCTTCACTCGGTAAACCCCTCTGTTGTGCCTCTTCCACCATATTGAATCCAACCCTTCCTGTAATCCTGTAAATGCTTCCAGCTCTTTGTAGAGGTCAGTTAATCTTGTTATCTCACAGTCATTCAGCTGTCTTCTTAGAGCTATTTCCCATCCTTGACAACTCCTCATTTCAGCTACTGTCTTATGTTGGTTTTGTGCTAAACCGAACATATCTGGGTATCTTTCCTTTAAGCTTCCAATTCCTAACCAGTTATCATTCCAAAATGATGTGTTCCTTCCGTTGTTCACTCTTATGGAGAAATGATTCTTCATTATTGGCCAAAGTTCTCTGATGGATTTCCACACACTTACTCCATATGATGTTCTGACTTTTTTTGACACCCAGTTGTTTTCTTCACCATACTTTGCTTTGATCACTTTGGACCATAAAGATTGGGGTTCTTTAGAGTACTTCCATAACCATTTAATTCTAAGAGCCTTGCTTTGGTTCTTCAAATTCCTTATCCCCATTCCACCTTGTTTTTTATCCATTGNATTTTTTATCCATTGTTAGCGTCTTCCAATTGACTAAATGGAAGACATTTTTCTCCTTATTGCCTTGCCAAAGGAATGTTCTTCGGAGTTTGTCCAATCTCTGTAAAATG